TGAGTACACCATGCGTCAGGATACTTCTATGCCAAGAGACAGTGCTACAATAAAAGAAGACCTAGACTTTCTTCAAGATCAAAGACTAGACATAAAATGTTTATCAGTGCTTGCGTTGATAAAGAATTAGAGGCCAGGGTAATAAACATAAATAATAAACAGGGTAATGAAACAAAAACTGATTAAGATTTGCCAAATATTTAAACACTTTTATATACTAAATTTCAAAAGTTTTTATTTGACTTAAGCAATGAACCAACTTTGGCTGATAAGCCTGATAGACCTAAATCAAGACACAGATCTGGTCTCTCAGCCTTAGGAGTAAAGAAGGAGATCACTAAGGAGGGTTTGATTGCAGCAACCAGTGCTTATTATCTAGAGCTCTTCTAATCTTCTAAGCAATTTCAATAAGCGCGAGAGTTGTGTAATATTTTGATTCGAAATCCATATTGATGTTGGTACCAACAAATAAATTTTTCTAGAAATTTGTATATTATGCATAGCCTTCTCAAAAATTTTGCTTAGGTTGTAAAGAAAGAAAATGGGTCGATTATTAGAATAGTATAGTAAAGAGCCTATTTTATAAATTGGAATGACTTTAGCTACTTTTTACTAAGGGAATTTGCCACTTTTAAAAGAATTATTTATCATAATGCTGAGAGGTTTGGAGATTATGTGAGAGGTAAGTTTAAGAAAAAATGTAGGTATGCTGCTAGGTCCATAACTTTTATCACTTTTAAGAGTATTATTAATAAAATTCGATACTCATCTTCACTTACAGGATCAATAAAGAAAGAATTAACATCAGGCAAATTAAGAAAGTCACTATAAGTATATTTTGATGGCATGATTTCATTGAGTAGTTTTCCACAAATAGAAACAAAATAATTATTAAATATATTTGAAACAGTGGCATGGTCTGTAATGATATTTTCATTCAGATTTAGCTGAGTAGATGTTTTATGTGATGATGTTTTAATATTTATGATATCTTCTATGTCTTTCCATATATTTTTTATGATGTTCATGTTGTTTTTAAAATAAGTTATGCAGTTTGATTTTTTACTACTTTTTAAATTAAGTTACTAATTTTAATTCTAAAGAATTTAAATTTTGTGAAAAGCTCATTTTTAGTATTAATGTTCTTACATCTTGCAACTTTTGTAGAGAGTTTGTTTTTTACAGAAACAGATTTAAGTAAGATATAAGTTTGATTAGAGTTTTAGTTTTATAGGCGGTACATTAGTCTAAAACCGGTAACCGGTTAAAAGCGGTACATTGGTCTAAAACCCTGTTAAATGTTTTTAAAAATTCATTGATGGATTCATTAATATTGTCATCTTTTTTAATCATAAGTTCCCAGTTGATTTTTGAAATTTTTAGAATAAATTTGTGAGGGTTAATTTTTTTTAGACACCGACTAGAATTTTTAACTTTATTTGGTTGGCTGGATGTGCCAGGAAATAGTCAAGGTATCTGAGAGACGATCAGAAGAGTAGAAGACCAAAAAGATGTTATCAATGAGAGTTTTAGATTTAGTTGTTATACGAGTAGGGAGAGTTATGGATTAAACGAGTAAGAGCATAAGGTATCAAGGCAGTTGGAAATAGAAGTAGATTCACTATAGCTTAGTAAATTTGAAACAAAATCATTCACATGAAAAATATTAATTTTGTTCTTTGATTAACTTTTCAAAAAGCGGAGTTAAAAGTGTTGTATTAAATTCATTTTAATTCATTGATGAATGGCGATATATACAACCAATTAGGAAATTTGTTTTGTAGTGGTTAAAATTACTTGAACTCAAGTAAAAATTTACTTACCAAAATTACTTGGATTCAAGTAATTTTGGTAAGAAAATCTTTAAGTCATGACAAACTACATAATTTAAATTAGGATATATAAAAGAACACCATCTTTTTTTGGCCTCAGTGGGGCAATGCTCAATTTTGAATCCATTAATAGTTATGTCTGTTGTATTTGTAACATTAAGAAATAAGTTGGATTCAGTAATCCTAATTCCGATAGGTAAGATATTTAATGTGCTAATAAGACTGCACAGGTCATTAATTTGATAGAAAAGTGATGCAATGTTAAGGTAAAGGTATAGATCTGAATTTAGTTTGATAACTTTACTAAAGTCAATAACATCATATAATTTATAGCAGAACCAGAGATTGTATTAAGTTCTTTAAGTATATATATATATATATATATATATATATATATATATATATATATATATATATTTAATTTTGCTTATACTAATATTTTAAAATTTATCAGGTAACTATGAAACCAAGCTGATCGGGTTTAGTTTTTATAATAGATAATGCGTGAGACATCAACGCTACGTTGGACTATGCGTCGCTCTAATACAAAATGAGGAAATAGGCTTATAAATAAAAAAGCATTCAACATGAGCTGATTTTTTCACAAGAAATCGAATTTTTATTTATATTTCTATATTTTACTTTATTTTTTTCAGTTCATCCGGACTAATTCCTGTCTAATCTGGAAAATTATAAAAGCCCGGATATTTTTATTCAAAAAACAGTAGGCGCCAATGTTTTATAGAATTTTACAAACTATATCATTTACACGATTTAACAATAAACAATGTCATTGAATATAAACTTATTAAAATTATAAACAAATCTGCTACCATCTGATTCTTCGTTCTTTAGTTTCTTACTAAGTTTCAACTATAGATGTACCGAAGCTTCGGCTTCGGCTTCGGCACTTTTGCCGATGCTTCGGCTTCGGCCGAAGCCAGGGTCAGTTTTTGCTGAAGCATTGGCTTCGGCAAGTTTTTTTAGGTAATTAAAGGTAATATTCTACTTTTATATTAAACATAAAGTAACTTTATTGCTTACGATATAATTACTAAAGTTCTACTATTTGTAATTTGCTCCTTAACTTTGATTTCTTGACGTATACGTCATGCCTGCTTATCAAAATTAAAATGTATGCCTGCTTATTAAAATTAATGGGTACTTTTTTTATATTTTATTTAAGTTTTATACTTAATTTTATTCCGATGTTACTAAAACCTATTTTCACTGAGCTTGTATTTAGTTTTTTTGCGCTTGAAACGTACGCTAGAAAAATTATTTCTAATCACCACTCAAAAACATGAACAATTAATGATTTTATAATTACAGAAGCAAATAAACTGCAGAAAATCAATAGCAGCATGCTGCAATAATTGTATGCATACTAAAACACTTTGAAAGCGCTACGAGAGGTAAGAGCAGACAAATCAGAGATCATACTGTTTCTTGACTATGCTAGGGACAAACCAACTGCAATCAAAACTGTTGTTAATGAACTTAAAAGTCATTTTTATTAATACGAAGATAATGTTTGTCTGAAAATTGCAATGATCCTCAAACCCCATTTCAAATCAAATTTTTTAAAGAAACAGATCATAGCAAGTTAAAGAAAATTTTATATCAATGGTAGTACCGCTTTCATTTAGAGTATCGATACTCTAAATAAAAGCAGTAGTATCCTTGATATAAATTTTGCTTGCTTGTTGTAAATGATCATTTACAACAAGCAAAAAAAGTTAATTTCGTTAAAGATTCATGATGGTCCAATCAAAAAAGAAAGCATAGGCATATACAGCTTCTTAGACTAAATGGGTATAAATGAAAATCCTTTACAGAAATGTGAAAACACTGATGTAGGGGGAAAAAAGTATAACATTAAAAGTTCTGTTTTATTTATTACAAATTTTATTAAAAATTGATGTTAATTTTCAAATTAATTATTATGTTGCATTCAGCCCTGTTAAAAAAAATTTATTTACAGGTTTTTTTTGCACACCAGAATTGTTGTAGACAAAATTATATTATATTTATATAATGGAAAGGTTACTGCTAGCAGGCACAAATTATATGCAGGCAGGCCGTGTCTTTCTGTAGTGATGGGTCTGTTTGTATTTAATATTTTTAATTTTCCATTCAAAACATTATTATTTATCAATTAATCAAGTAAGGAAAAAAGAATACTATTGATTAGTAGTATTCTTTTTTCCTATTAAAGATTAATGGAAAGATTAATAAGGATTAAAGATTTAAAATATTAGTTTAAACTTTAAATTGATTCATATTTTTGATTCAACACGGACGAAGTCAACTTTAACTTTAGCCTACCAACATTACCAAAAAATGAATGCCCTTATAAGTGGTGGGGTGTTTACCCCTGCTCCGATAAAGACACTAAAAAATTGAATTTGGTAAGGTTCTCAATGAAAATTTTGTGTGCTCCCAGTTAGCACAAAACGTACAAAGAAAGTTCTATAAACGTTCAAGAACGTTCTATGAACGTTCATAGAACGTGCTTGAACGTTCACAACGTTCGTCCAACGTTCTTGAACGTTTTGTGTTAGCTGGGCTCCTTCATCTGTTAGCAGTGAACCTTTGTTCAGCACAACAGGAAACATATTTTAAGCCAAAAGAAACAGGCTGTTACCTGAACATGGAAAAAAGAATACGTTTTTAAACTATAGTTTGCCTGATTTCTAATAGATAATTAATTTAAACGTAATAAACTAATAAATATAATAAAAACAACTTCCTTCATTTATCATTGTAATTTCTAAATGGTAATTTTATTATAATCCAAAGTACTAACTAATGTAAACTAAACATTGTTTATAATAAAACTTTAAAGTTTAGACTTTTTTTTTTTTTTTCTTTTGGATAAAGTTTTTTTTATATAACTTTTTTTAAATATATTTTTCATGGTATTTATATTCTTCCCTCCAATACTTCACGAATGTCAAGAGGTAGCGCATAACTACTTATTTAGTTATGCGCTTACTCAAAACAATGTACATTTTTCATTGTTTTAGGTAAAGTGTAAAAGTATGTAAAAAGTAATATAAAAAGAAATGAGTAAAATCAATATATATTGTTTAAACTCAAAAAAACGTACATTGTTTTGAATAAGCGCGACTTGTTAAAAAAATAGCTCGTGTGCGCCAGCTAAAAATCGCGACGCCTGATTTTCTTTATCGATCTTTATTTATAATATCTACTTTGTTCAACATAAACATTCAGATTTAAGAAAATAAATAAAATGATGCCAATTTAACAAAATAAATAATATTAAATTTTGATAATATAAAGCATAAGTGTATTAAATCTAAAAATGAAACCAAGTCCTCCAAAGGTTTTACGCACTCAAAAGCCTATTAGCCGACCGTTTTATGAGTTCCATACAAAATCTAGTGCTCAAATTGTAGCTGAAGCAAGATCAACGATACGCTCTTTGGATACAAAACGTCCATATACTCCTCTAGATTCCCTTCCAAGATTGTTAGTTTCTGATAACAAATTAGACTTCAGGTGTGTATATAAAAAAACCTTTTAAAAATTATATTATTACTTCTTTAAGTAATGATCACTTATTTTAGTTTACATGTTGACATCAATTTAGTTTTAATTTTTTTTTTGGTTAGTTAGATTAGTGGGACTAATTAGTTAAGTTTATACCATAGTATTACAACATAGGTTATTAAAAAAATATTTAACACGGGAGGTGCACGCTATAGATTTAAGAAGTGTTTAGAAAATGTTAGCTTGAAGTGAAAATGTTAGCTAAGAAGTGTTAGAAAATGTTATAAAAGTCATGGAATGAATTTACAGGTAATTGGTTTTGTAAAAAATTACATTCTTTTTTAACAGATTTTTATTTTAATGAAAATTTATCACAATAATTAGTGTTATGGGTGTGCTAGACCTAGTTCTTCTTAGTTAGACCTAGAAATTCTTGCGCTTATATTATGAGTATAACTTACTTTAAGCTAGTTTTTATATGTTAGTGGTATATATTATCACTAAGGAAACTATATATAAAAGAGTATTCTGTTGATAATAAAGAAGTATAGAATTAAATCTAAAATTTAAAAATTCAGAGTGATCTAAACTCTTTATTAGCAGGAAAATTAAATTGAAAGAGATTTATTTATACAGATAGTTGTCTGTTGAATAACTATCTGTATAACTAAATCTCTCTAATAGATAGTCACTTTATAATCGATTGGTTTTTGAGTCTGTTATAAGCAGCTTTAGGTGAAATGAGATGAGAATAGTTTATATTATTATCATAATATTATTAGATATTTTTTTATTAGTCTTTTCCTCAAAAATAAGTCTTTACTTAATAAAAGTTCTACTATATATAATATGTATATATTATATATACATATATATGTTTCTCAAGGTTTTTATTTAATAATATTCCAAGATATAGTTATATAAATATAATAGTTTACAATTTTTTAGATGGTAAATTTATAGTTTTACGCATTAGTTTAAATAATGTTATCTTTGTTTATATCACATGAAATTTTGTTGGCATTTAACAAGTAAAAAAGATTTTTAAGGTTATGATTAATATATTTGTATTTATTTTATATCGACTTGTTAAAATAAAGTAAATTGTTGTCATTAGCAAATGGTTAAGATAGATAGATTTAATAACTTTAGTCAAATTATTTTCATTAATCAGAAATAACAGAAGTCTTAAGTTAAATCCCTGAGGGACTTCTTTTTTAAAGTCAATAAAGATACCAGGTCTAAACATTCCTTTATCATAAGCACTTCTGAAAAATTAATATAACTAATCAAAGCAGGCACATTTTAGGGGCAATTTAGAATAACTGAGTTAACAGGAACTGTAAACGGTACTGTGCTAGGTAATTTTTCTTAACTTTCAATGTTATATTTATTGTTGTATACATTTATTAAAATGAAATACTTTTTCAAACAAGTTATTTTTGTACTACATTTGTGGTTAAATTAAAAATTTAATTGTATATTTAATTACTCCCAAATTTTTAATTTGGTGTAAATAAATATACAATTAAACTTTTTGTTTTCAAATTTCATTGTTTGTATAAGAAATAAAAACTAACTATATTAAAAACAACAACAAACACAGTTACATCAAACCTAAAACCAAAAAAAGTAAGAAAGGTTTCAATATAATGCAACAAGATTTTAAAGTACAAGTATTTGAACAAATACTACAAAATAATTTGTAAAAATTTTATTGTAATAATTTGTAATATTTGTAATAACTTGTAATAATTTTTATTATCCAATGGTATTTTTTGAGAGATCAGTTAATTGCAAACATAGTTTGACTTGATATTGAATGTCATTATTTGTTGCTTGCTTTCTATGCATTTCTTTTTTTTTTAATTTGTTTTGGGCTTGAATCTTATGGACAATTTAGGCATGTTTTTTCAAAAGCTTGATTGTACCAAAGAACTTTTTTTATGATTTTTTTATGGTTTTATAAAATTAAAATGTTTTTATTTTTTGTTTGATTTTAGAGTTTGTTTATTTAATATATTTTTATTTATTTATTCTTAAATTAAAATTGGAAAAATTTAATTTTAGCTCCTTTTCTATTGATTCACGGCCATCAACTGGCAAAAAGCTTTCACCTATTAAAGATGGCAAGGAACAACAACAGTATTAT